CAACAGCCAATTAATGCACAACTATATTCTACCCACCTCAAGACTCCGCTCCAATATAGAAGCATCAAGAAATATGGACCAATAGGCTTTCTACAATCACTTCCATTTCAATACCCATTGTTTCTGTTTAAGAAAAATTGAGAAAATTCGTGTTAGAATTATTAATCTTACTTTTTCGGTCATATTTAATAATATATATATATATATATATGTCGTACCTAGTAGCCAGAACTCACTTCTCAGCCTACAGTGCAAGGCCCGATTTGCCTAATAAGCCAAGTTTTCATGAATTAATATATTTTCTCTAATTTTTTTCTTATGAAATGATAAAGCAACCCATTTCATTATGTAAGCGGTCAATTTTTTTTATTGGAGTTAAAATTAACGTAGATATATGACCGAACCTAACCAACCCTACCTAACCTAACCTAACCTATCTTTATAGGTTAGGTTAGGTTAGGAAGCCGAAAAAGTTAGGTTAGGTTAGGTTAGGTAGGTTAGGTAGTCGAAAAGCAATTAATTCATGAAAACTTGGCTTATTAGGCAAATCGGGCCTTGCATAGTAGGCTCAGAAGTGAGTTCTGGCTACTAGGTACGACATATATATATATATATATATATTATATATATATATATATATATATATATATATATATATATATATATATATATATATATATATATATATATATATATATATATGTCGTACCTAGTAGCCAGAACGCACTTCTCAGCCTACTATGCAAGGCCCGATTTGCCTAATAAGCCAAATTTTCCTGAATTAATATATTTTCTCTAATTTTTTTCTTATGAAATGATAAAGCTACCCATTTCATTATGTATGAGGTAAAAAAAATTTATTGGAGTTAAAATTAACGTAGATATATGACCGAACCTAACCAACCCTACCTAACCTAACCTATCTTTATAGGTTAGGTTAGGTTAGGTAGTCAAAAAGTTAGGTTAGGTTAGGTTAGGTAGGTTAGGTAGTCGAAAAAACAATTAATTCATGAAAACTTGGCTTATTAGGTAAATCGAGCCTTGCATAGTAGGCCGAGAAGTGCGTTCTGGCTACTAGGTACGACATATATATATATATATATATATATATATATATATATATATATATATATATATATATATATATATATATATATATATATATATATATATATATATATATATATATATATATATATAGATATATATATATATATATATATATATATATACAAGACAGAACACTAAACAATGGGTATAAATTGGAAAAGTGAACATATGAATGGAAGTAACTGCAGAAAGTCTATTGGCCCATACTTCTTCTTGCTGCTTCCATATTGGTTCGGGGTCTTGAAGTAGGTAGAGTATAGTGTTGTGCAGCCAATTAATTACTTACGACAACCATCAGGTATAGTTACTCTGTTACTTCCGATAATCGATTACAGGTCTCGAAGTCCCATCTCGCTTTGGTACAAGAATCAATGGGGCGTTCCATGGCGAATTACTTGACTCAATTACACCACTCTGTAACATTTCCTTTATGAGTCAATCGGCTTCTTCTCCCTGAGAATGGGATAGACGGTAAGCTGGTACATAAATTGGCATAGTTCCTTGCTCAAGCGGAATTTTATGCATAATAAGAGGAGTGAGACTTAACTTTTCTCCCAGTAGAGCAACAACGACTTTAATCCTGTTCAAAATTTCCAAAACTTGAACCACAGGTCCAGGGAAATCAGTATGACTGATTTGTAGCACCTGCACCTCTGACTAAGATCCCTGTTCTCCTGGTGTGAGTGTACAAACAGTACGTTCCATGGAGAGATCGTCCACGACTCACACCGGTAACGAGTAATGGGCAAAATCTGCAACATGGGTGCAAGACTGGAGATGGATGTTAGCATTACTAGTGTTTGCAATATAGTGTCATGGTACCATCCTGCACTGTGTATCAGGAGGATTCAACAAACGTACCGTTCACTTTACACGTTTCACTTTCCGCAATGACATCCGATACCTCAGGCACTCCTTGAACCTTAACTCTTACTCTGGTGAGGGAATGAGAGTGCAGCATATTGTCAGTAGCTGTATAACCACTGACTTTCAGAGATGGAAGCTGCCAGGCGAGCAAGTCAACGAGAATCCGTTAGAGCGTTCCCCTCCAGAAGGTCTTGATACTCACTCTCCTTAACAACTGCACAAGTACGATGCCTCAATTGAGTGCCCATTTCCTCGGGTATGGTACTGCGACACGGATCTGACAAACCTATGCTAACAAGTCGGGTGTCGACAAAATTAACGTAGTCTGATTGAAGGTTGATCTCATGACCTGGACGATACATGCTACACAAGAGTATGACTTGGTCTTTGATACCAAAGTTCAAACGATAGGGAAAAAATGCAATCATCAATCATGGTGTACAAACCTAGGAGAATTTCACCAGGAAAATGGATACTGTCAACAACTAAACATGTTATAGACAATGTGACGTCATCTAACTTGAGTGGAAGGTCAATTTCCCCCTGAACTTTTACTGTATTTCCTGAAACACCACTTAGAAAAAGTATGGGTGACTTTTTTACTGGAGCAGGGTGCTTACTTGCAATATCAAGGGGGCCATCACTTGAGACTGGACAAGTTACTACTTGTGACTTATGTTATCTAGGATATCTGCATCTCGTCTGGGTCAAATTCACTGTGGTTCCGTCAACATCTACAACTAGGCTAGAGTCAATGTCCTCCTCTGTCAAGTATCCAAATCTATTTTGGGTAGCTACTGAGTACACAAGGAGGGCACTAGGACTGGCTAACTTGAATTGCTTAGCGGATGACTTTGAGGGTTTCCCGATGACATGGAGTGAACATTCTGAGTTCCAGCATTCAGAGACCGAGTATTATAATTCGACGTTGTATTATAGCTGGGTTGGGAGTTGTAATTATGCACGTTCTAATAATGTCTTGGATGCTGTGCACCTCGCAAAGGCTGACCAAGGGAGCTACGAGGTGGGGATGTTCTTTGTCTATCTCTACAATCCAGTGTGATGACCAACTTGTGCATGATACCTGCAATGTGGGACCCTATGGTTATTAGCCTGACGAGGGGACCGAGAGAACTATCTAGGGGGTGATGATCTAGGAGCTGACCAACAGTCTTACCATAATGCCAACGTGAGGGAGGGGAAGGTCGTGGGCTATGATGTCTCGGCAACTTATCAGGAGGAGAATTTGACTGGGGGATTCAACCATGGGTGCGGTTCTGCGACCAAGAGTTTTGAGAGTTTGTGGGAGGATGCTGAGAGCTTGTTACTACATTCACAGTACCAGAGGGTGGCAACAGTTGAGCACTTTGGGGAGCTAATTTATCTGCTACACTGTTACTGAGCTCAAACACTTTGCCAATTTCATGTTTAACTCCAAACTGTTGTTGTTCAAGGATAGGTTTAGTGTCCTTTGGGGCAAAATGTATCAAAGTCCCAAATGCTATCATTTTGGCCATGGCCTCTGGGGTTAGTGTATTGTCTTTATCCACCCATGACGACCTAATCATAACAGTTAATAAGGCATACAGATACTGATCTAGACGGCTAGTAAAGGCATTAAAGGATTCACCAGGCTGCATGATGGTATTGGCAATTTTCTTAACTAACCTATATGTTTCAAGGTCTCCTTTGTTAAAAAGGCGCCAGCGAAAGAAATCCTTAAATTCTGACCATGACTGGGTGCCAATAATGACTTTTTCATCAATGACAAAGCATGCGTAACCTTTGGTGGTGTCAACAGCTGACCTGGCAATTGTCAAGTATTCGGTATCAGTAGGCTTGAAAAAACGTACGATGGTTTTTGCTTCAACTTTACTAAACAATGACTCTAATAAGCGGGATTCGCCAGCAAAAAGTGGGATAACCATTTACTGATCTCACCTCTAGTACGAGCAATTGTTCCAGTTGAGTCCGAAGGAGTTGCCACAGTGGTAGGCATTGTCACTACCTACCGAGGAAGTGACAGTTGAACGCAAATTATAGTTAGGTGCACTAGGCATAAGAAATAGAGTACACCAAAAAATATAACACTCAAAAAATATTAAACTTGGGTAAAGTAAGGAAATGGTAGAAATAAAATTATTAAATTGTACTAGGCAACAAAATAATTAAAAACAAGCAAAATTTTGAATTAATTAGCAATCTGGCATGAATATGGCTGGAATAGGAAGTATGTATATTAATTAGAATGAGCACTAAGAACAGCAATTTAGACTAAAAACTGAAAAGTGCAATTGCAAAATTTTATTAAAAATGATTCAACACAACAAGTGGCAATGCAAGAAATATGGGTTTAGCACAAACAAACTGGACACAGATATATGTGTAACATGTTATAGTAAAATTTGAAAATAAAATGCTGAAAGTGTAAATTTAAAATTTAGGTCTGGGGAAATATAAAAAAAATCTATTTTTTATTGTCTGTAGAAATATAAAAAAAATTCTATTGTACATATAAACAGCTAAAAACAATTATTTCTTACTTCTCTGAACTTTGAATTTACTAATAACACTGGTAACACAATAGAATTAGATAATGAACAATAGAATTACTGTGAGAAGCAGGAAATGTTGAAATGACTCAGGGGAAACTGTCTGAGTGGAATGACTTTCAACTCCAATATTTAACAAGTCACTGGAAGGTTAATGCATATGTACTGGCATTGTACACAATGCCGGTACACTGACGACATTTGTATTAGGGATTTTTGGATAAAAAATAGATGTACTGACGACAAGTGTACTTAGGATAGATATACGGAGGACAGGTGTAATTAGGATAGATGTACTGAGGACAGGTGTACTTAGGGCTGGTGTAAATAAAGGGAACGTGATGTAAATCATGTTTACCCCTCAATGATTCTGCCCTGGAAGAGTAAATTAGTAAATGAAAACCAAGAAACATTATTTATTAAAAAAACAATAATTATTATCATAAAAATTATTTCAACCTCAACAGAAAGCTTTCAAGACTTTATGGGCAACAAAATGAAAATAGTAACACCTTCACCCTACTTCCCATACGTGGACTACCAGCGAGTGAGCGAGGCCCCGGGCACAGCCGTCCTGCTGGTGGACTGCCTTGATGCCCGGCTCATCCACACCTTCGCTGACAAGCTCAACTTCACGTAAGACTACCACGTGTTCTGTAGTGAGTCTACAAATAAATATTTGATCATCTAGAAAGCATGCGCACACGTGCACACACATACACACACACACACAATTTTTTATTGTGGAACTTTTAGTAAAGAAGAACATCCTACTCAATGTACTGATGTTCAAGAAGGTATTCCTGAAGAGGGATATGACCAGAGAGGAGAAACAGAGGGCAGCAGCAACAAGGAAGGAGTGCAAGGAGAGGGAAAGGAATCAGGGAACCCCAACCCAGAACCCTACGATCCCAGAAGGGAGTGGGGAACCCTCCACAGGAAATTCAACAGCCCCAGTAGGAGGAGGATCATACCCATCACCCACCCAATAGAAGCCCTACCTGCCCCAGCCCTTACTCTCCTCCACCACCCTAAGCCCTCCCTTCTCCCCCACCTCCCTATCCCCTCTTTCCTCCCCCATCCCCCTTAGCCCTCCCTTCTTCCCCCAAGCCCTCCTTTCTCTCTGCCCCCGCCCTCCATGCCCTCACTTCGCCCCTACCCTCTCCAAACCAGATCCTCCCAGCTCCCCTCACTCTCAGCTCCCCTCACGACCCAGGGCCCCCCTTTCCCTTCCCCATCCCAAACCCTTCATGTTTACCTACTCTGGTGGAATCAACAGAAACTGTGGATGGACAGAAAAGAGTCAGCTTCAAGGTGATGTACACGAACATAGATGGGATTACAAGCAGGACAAGTAAATTTAGGGAAAGAACACAAGAAGTAAACTCAGATGTAATTGGAGTCACAGAAAAAAACCTCTCAGGAATCATAACAAATGTGGTGTTCCCCCAGGATTACACTGTAATAAGGAATGAGAGGGAGGGTAAGGGAGGAGGTTGAGTGGCCTTACTCATGATAAAGAAATGGAGTTTCAAGGAGATGGTTATCCCAGGCTGTGAAGGGTTTCAAGACTACATAACAGGCACCATGACGATGGGAGGACCTAGAGTAGTAGTAGCAGTGATATATATAATTATCCACCAAATGACAGAAGACCCAGGCAAGAGTATGACAGAAACAACATGGCAGTTAATAACATAATTGAGAGCGCAGCCTCTGCTGCCTGTAGAAATCGATCACATCTGCTCATCATAGTGAATTTCAATCATGGAAGGATAGACTGGGAGAACAAGGAACTGCACGGAGGAGAGAATACACGGAGAGCCAAACTAGTGGAGGTGGCGACAAGAAACTTTCTAAGCCAAAATGTCTGGGAACCCACTAGGATGAGGGGAAATGATGAACCAGCGAGACTCGACCTAGTCTTCACTCTGAATGACTTCGACATAAGGGAAATTGACTTCGATGCCCCAGTAGGAATGAGCGATCACAGTGTACTAATGTTTGAGTGTCTGGTCGAAGAAGGGCTAAAGTACTCGAGAAAGGGAACTGAAAGCAAAAGGCTAGCATTCCATAAGGGAAATTACGAGGAGATAAGAAAATTCCTAACGGATATAACATGGGAATCAGAGTTAAGGGGAAAGATAGCCGAAGACATGATGGAATTCATCACCCAGAAGTGCAAGGAGGCAGCAAAAAAGTTTACTCTGGCCCAAAAGTTAAAAAATTAAATGCAGATGAGAAACCCATGGTTTAATCAGAGATGTAAGATAGCTAAGAAACAAAGTATAAGTGCATGGAGAAACTATACATATAACAGGACACTTGAGAGCAGAGAAGGTTACCAGAGAGCCAGGAATGAATACGTTAGTATGAGGAGAGAGGCAGAAGGGCACTATGAAAACGACATAGCAAGCAAGGCTAAGACCCAGCCCAAATTGCTGCACAGCCACACCAGGGGAAAGACAACAGTGAAGGAACAGGTAATGAAACTGAGGATATGGGCAGACAGATTCACTACAAACGACAAAGAAGTGTGCGAGGAACTCAATATGAAATTCCAGGAAGTCTTCACATTAGAGCAAGGAGAAGTTCCAGAGATAAGAGAAGGAACCAAGCACCACCAGAAGAATTTGAGATTACCAGTGGAGAAGTAAGGAAGCTATTGCTAAAGTTGGATGTGACAAAGGCTATAGGCCCAGATGGAATATCATCATGGATACTAAAGGAAGGAGCAGAAGCACTGTGCCTGCCACTCTCCATGATGTATAACAAATCATTGGTAACAGGTGAACTGCCAGAAATATGGAAGGCGGCAAACGTAGTCCCGATATACAAAAGAAGGGGGATAGACAGGAAGCACTGAACTACAGGTCAGTGTCGCTAACTTGCATATCATGCAAGCTAATGGAGAAAATTGTGTGAAAAAAGCTAGTCGAACATCTAGAGCGAAGGAACTTTGTATCACAACACCAACATTGCTTCAAGGATGGCAAGCCATGCCTCACAGGATTAATTGAATTCTACGATCAGGCAACAAGAATCAGACAAGAAAGAGAGGGGTGGACAGACTGCATATTTTTGGATTGCAGAAAGCCTTTGACACAGTGCCACACCAAAGACTAGTGAGAAAGCTGGAGATACAGGCAGGAGTGAAAGGGAAGGTACTCCATCGGATAAGGGAGTACCTAAGTAACAGAAGACAGCGAGTCACTGTGCGGGGTGAGGTCTCAGATTGGCGAGACGTCATCAGTGGGGTCCCGCAGGGTTCCGTCCTTGGCCCCATACTGTTTCTTATATATGTAAATGATCTTCCAGATGGTATAGAATCATTCCTCTCATTGTTTGCTGATGATGCAAAAATTATGAGGAAGATTAAGACGGAGGAAAACTGGATGAGACTACAAGATGACCTAGACACACTGCATGAATGGTCCAACAAATGGCTTCTAAAGTTCAACCCGAGTAAATGTAAGGTAATGAAACTAGGCAGTGGAAACAGGAGGCCCAGACACAGGATACAGAATGGGATTGATACAGTGCTTGCGGAGGTTGAGCTCTGGCTCCTTGGTCCCGCCTCTCAACTGTCAATCAACAGGTGTACAGGTTCCTGAGCCTATTGGGCTCTATGATATCTACACTAGAAACTGTGTATGGAGTCAGCCTCCACCACATCACTTTCTAATGCATTCCATTTGTGAACCTCGCTGACACTAAAAAAGTTCTTTCTAATATCTCTGTGGCTCATTTGGGCACTCAGTTTCCACCTGTGTCCCCAAGTGCATGTGCCCCTTGTGTTAAACAGCCTGTTTTTATCAACCCTGTCGATTCCCTTGAGGATCTTGAATGTGGTGATCATGTCCCCCCTAACTCTTCTGTCTTCCAACGAAGTGAGGTTTAATTCCCGGAGTCTCTCCTCGTAGCTCATACCTCTCAGCTCGGGTACTAGACTGGTGGCAAACCTTTGAACCTTTTCCATTTTAGTCTTATGCTTGACTAGATATGGACTCCATGCTGGAGCCGCATACTCCAGGATTTGTCTGACATATGTGGTATACAATGTTCTGAAAGATTCCTTACACAAGTTTCTAAAGGCCGTTCTTATGTTAGCCAACCTGGCATATGCTGCTGCTGTTATCCTCTTGATATGAGCTTCTGGGGACAGGTCTGGCGTGATATCAACCCCCAGGTCTTTCTCTCTCTCTGACACCTTGAAGTATTTCTTCTCCCAAGTGATACTTTGTATCTGGTCTCCTGCTTCATACCCCTATCTACATTTTATTACATTTGCTTTGATTAAACTCTAACAGCCATTTGTTCGACCATTCCTGCAGCTTATTCAGGTCTTCTTGAAGCCTCAAGCTGTCCTCCTCTGTCTTAATCCTTCTCATAATTTTGGCGTCGTCAGCAAACATTGAGAGGAATGAGTCTATACCCTCAGGGAGATCATTTATGTATATCAGAAACAGGATAGGTCCAAGTACAGAGCCCTGTGGGACTCCACTGGTGACTTCACGCCAGTCTGAGGTCTCACCCCTCACTGTAACTCTCTGCTTCCTATTGTTTAGGTACTCCCTTATCCACTGGAGCGCCCTATCAGTTACTCCTGCCTGTTTCTCCAGCTTATGCATCAACCTTTTATGGGGTACTGTGTCAAAGGCTTTCCGACAGTCCAAAAAAATGCAGTCCGCCCACCCTTCTCTTTCTTGTTTAATCGTTGTCACCTGATCGTAGAATTCTATCAAGCCTGAAAGGCAAAATTTACCCTCCCTGAAACCATGTTGATGTGTTGTCACGAAGTCTCTTCTCTCCAGATGTGTTACTAGTTTTTTTCTCACAATCTTCTCCATCATCTTGCATGGTATACAAGTTAAGGACACTGGCCTGTAGTTCAGTGCCTCTTGTCTGTCACCCTTTTTGTATATTGGTACTACATTAGCAGTCTTCCATATTTCTGGTAGGTCTCCCGTTTCCAGTGACCTACTATACACTATGGAGAGTGGTAGGCAAAGTGCTCCTGCACACTCTTTCAATACCCATGGCGAGATTCCATCCGGCCCAACAGCTTTGCTCACATCCAGCTCCAATAGGTGCTTCTTGACCTCATCTCTTGTAATTTCGAACCTATCCAAGGTCACCTGGTATGGTGCCACCTCTTCTAGCGAAGCGACATCTCCCTGTTCTATTGTAAAGACCTCCTGGAACCTTTTGTTGAGTTCTTCACACACCTCTTTGTCATTCTCTGTGTACCTGTCCTCGCCCACCCTAAGTTTCATCACCTGTTCCTTCACTGTTGTCTTCCTCCTGATGTGACTGTGTAGTAGCTTTGGTCGGTCTTGGCTTTATTAGCTATATCATTTTCATACCTTTTCTCAGCTGCTCTTCTCACACTGACATACTCGTTCCTGGTTCTCTGGTATCTCTCTCTACTTTCTGGTGTTCTGTTATTACGGAAGTTCCTCCATGCCCTTTTGTGCAGCTCCTTTGCTTTCATACATTCCCTATTAAACCACGGATTCTTCCATTGCTTCTCAGTTTTTTTCCTGTCGGGCTGGGACAAACCTGCTTACAGCCTCCTGACATTTTTGGGTCACATAGTACATCATGTCTTGTACGGATTTGGTTCCGAGTTCTGT